GCAGGGTGACAGGGTGACAGTTGGGGTGACATGTGGGGTGGCAGGGTGACAAATGGGGTGACAGGTGGGGTGGCAGGGTGACAGGGTGAGGGGGTGGCAGGGTGACAGGTGGGGTGGCAGATGGGATGGCAGGGTGACAGGGTGAGGGGGTGGCAGGGTGACAGGTGGGGTGACAGGGTGAGGGGGTGACAAATGGGGTGGCAGGTACCTTTTTCCCTGGTGGTCCAGTGGTGGCAGACTCCCTGGTGGTCCAGTGGTGGCAGACTCCCTGGTGGTCCAGTGGTGGCACTCAGACTCCCTGGTGGTCCAGTGGTCTCTCCGGTCTGCAGCTCTGCCGGATGCAGAGCTGCAGACCACGTGGTGAATGTCTCGCGGTCTCCATTCAGCGCGTTGCCGTGGTAACCCGCGGCAACGCTCTGATTGGCTGGAGATCGCGAGACACTTCAGTCTGCAGCTCACACCCGGCGGAGCTACAGACTGAAGGCTGGCTCTCTCCCGGGCAGACTGACAGGAGGGGCCTCGCACCCGGCGGCACCAAGGGCAAGCCACCGGGCCCCCTCCTGTGTCGGGTCAGTCTGCCCTATGGTGGTTTAGGCGGCCGCGAGGCCCCACACAGCGCGAGGCCTTAGGCGGCCGCCTAAACCGCCTAATTAGAGAGCCGCCTCTGGTCCCAGGGTAGGAGGCTGGCAAACAGGCCCCCCCAAAAACCACTGGTGAAGTTGATTTCGTCACACCTTCAAAATGTAGATTTATGAAATATACTACAAGTGTAAAATATAGTATATATACAAGAAAGAAACAATCACTTAACACCTAAATGTAATAGAAAAGTGAAAAAGACCACTTATCTCAATGGATAGTAGATCATCCAGGGATATCCCAGCAATAAACCCTTTAAATACCATATGCATGCAAACAAAAGGAGGATACAGCTGCAGATCTACAAAGTGAATAAAAAACAAATAATAGTGTAACACTGTTAAATGAGTGTGAATGCGCTAAGCGGAATATCACTCACTAGAAGGATGAAAGAATATCGCCCAAGGGTGCCTCCCCTGATGGAGTTGGGGGGTAAAACCACTCCTCCTGTTCTGAAGATGACGGAGTCAGACTCAGAATTATAGAGTAGAAAATTCTTCTTTATTAAAATAAGTATAACAATTAATATAAAAGCTCTTATAGTACCAGGTCCTACGCGTTTCGTCCACAAAGGACTTTCTCTGGGACGTCCTGGTATTAAAATTTGTAACAGCAATAACAATTACAAGAATAAGCAGTATAATCCCTCCCCCCTGAGTCCATTCTTTTATATGGGTGGCTAATCTTCTCATTGGTGTTCCGTTGGGCGTTGTTTGCTTCATTTCACAATAAATATGGGAATACTAAACCCATATATAGGAACCCATCATGGTTAAATTGTAAAACATATTAATATTAAACAATCAATTTAGTTATTATTTTAACTCAAGAATTCATAATGACCAGTGTATCTATAAATAGGGAATATTTTTCCTAGAACGGTGTATATTAGGATAAAGAATATACATATAACAATTTAAATATATATATAACCCAAAAAATGCAAATAAATATAAAAATGAAAATAAGAATAAAAATAAATAAAAAATACAAATAATTGTAAATAACAGTGAAAATAAAAAATAAGAAATACGAAATAAAAAATAAAATGTGAAATGAAAATTGAAATAAAAATAAATAAAAATGAAAATGAAAATCCACATAAAGTAATACTGACAAATAATATTGATACTGCTAAATATTATATATAAATAGATAAAAAAATAAAAATGAAAAAAATGACAAATATATGGAGATTATAATAGTGAAAATAAAAAAATAAAAAATGAAAAAATTAATTTAATCCACTTTTTTTTACAAGTTATAATTATTACAATGGTCCATATAAGGGGAATATTGCATTTCCATTCACATTAAAGGAAGCAGATAATGTCTATTTCAGCGTTGAGACTTCTGGGTTCTGTGGCAAACATAGCCACTTGGACAATATAAAGAGACTGTGCCTTTAAGGTTTGCCTGTATGGTTGTGGGATATGTGTTTTACTCAGTGTAATGTATGCTGGCTGTAATTAACGTGTATTTGCTGTATTGGCTATCTGCCGAATGCAGATAGCTGTTTTTCCTTTCGTTTCACGAACGGCACTTTTGCGGGCCGTTCGTGAACCGAAAAACCCCCATGTAATAGCCCACACACTTAGAGGCGTGTGGCGCTTGTTAACCAATTGCAACAATGTTGCAATCGGTAATTAGAGGCTCTCCTAGGTGGCCGCCGTTCGACTACCGTCCATGCGGCCGTCGGCCATCTTGGATCCTTTGTTCCCTCTGCGGTGTGTGGTCGTCGAGCCAATTACTGTTTTGATTGGTTTGTGAGTTTTGTGTCCCTGTCCCCAGCAAGGGATGTGGGATGTATCCCTTGCTTGGGGACTTACATAAAAAGCCAGTGTGGCTACCATTAAACCAGACTTACTTCACCCTCAATCTAGAGTTCTGTCTCTTATTGTAAGGAACTGATATACTGCTGTCACTAGTAGCTCTTGTAAGAGCTTCATAGCTACACTCTCCTAGAGGAGAGGCCTTCCCACTGAGTCCCTGGATCCAGGAGGTTGGTCCAGGGTGGGAGGAAGACGGCAAGGCCCCAACCAAGCTCCGGTGGTTCGTGTTGTCTATGGCGCTTGCGGTGTCCGGTGCAGTGCTTATGGACCTCGGGACCTCCTTGGCAGAGGTACCCAGCCGGGGTAGAGGGAGCTCCGTTACAGTCTGCATAGTCAGAACTATGGTATTCACAGTAGTAACATACAGATGTGATATCTGGACTATAAAGAACCCTGGGCGTCATAGAATTAATTGCAAGAGTGTAATAAGGTCTCTTTCATACCCCAAATGTACCATCTTGCACCAAAAATTCAAAGACACTAACTTCTCAAATCCAATAAACAATGGGCTGTTACATTCTGGGATATTAAAACAATTACACATTTGCACATTTTATGAAATGAAATAAGCTTGCTGAGCTTGTTTTGATGTTTAAAAATGACTGCATCTGAATCATGTCTTGTTAATGAATTCCTGTCCCGAGTTATTTTTAAATGGGAAAACTGTCAAATTGGGGACACAGTTCTTTTTTTACAGTTTTAAATACAGTAGAAACTCTTTGATAAAATAAAATGAACATCACAAATGTAAAAGCAGTGGCGTACACACGATCCATGGGGCCACCTCTCCCCCGGTGGTTACACCGCGTGAGCTGGGACCGCAACACATCGCTGTGGTCTGCATGGTGACCGGGCAACCTGGAGTGAAGGGCCCGGTCGCAGCTGCGACCCCTGTGGCCCCTGCGGCCCCTGTATGTACGCCACAGTGTCAAATAAATAACCTAAGAAGAATACAGTTGTGATGTAGTGAAGAACTCCAGTTAGCTAAAGAGTAATGGGTGATCACAGCACATATAATGTAACTCCTGCCAGAATGAAGAAGTATTGCACACATGAGATTTAAACTGTTATCTGATCGCTGGCTTGGCCATCCAAATTACAATCAAGAGAGAACAATTATTTGTATGAAAAGATAAAATATGAGGTTTAGGTCTAATTCTCACCCAGTTTAGAGGCTTTCAGGTTCCAATAGAAGGTTTTACTTTCATCTGCACACAGACAGCCAGTACGCTGACAGTCAGTACAAGGCTCTTCATCCAACTCTTCAGATTCCTTTAGCGTGACTTTCACCTGTCAATGGAAAAATCAATACAGAAAAATACAACAATGCCTACAGACATTTCTTGAAGGTCTCCCATCAATGGCCTTGACGACCAAGGGTGATGATCTCTCCTTGATGGGTAGGAGGTGTTTACTGACAAATTGCATGTTGATAAAGTATCCTGCAGCACCTGAGTCCATCAAGGCTTTACATGAAAAACTTTTCTTGTTGCATAGAACAGTAATGTTAAGCAGAAATGTACTTTGGGTAGTGCCAGGGGACATATCCATCACACCTAATGGTCCTTAGGTTTCCCAGACATATGGAACAAGCATTTCTCATATGTCCTTTCTTGTACAGTATAAGTAAAGGTCATCTTCTCTCCTAAACTGTATTTCTGCCTCTGACAACACCTAACTGCATAGGTTCAGTTTCAGACTGCACAGGAGGGCCAGAAACAACAGGACTAGAGAAGCGAGGCACCAATGACATATTCATACATCTATTTCGTCTGGTTCTATTTATAGTTATCTTCCTGTTCCACGTAAGTGATCTGTTCATTTATTCTCCCTGATAGTTCTTTGGCTGCAATCTCATCCAGGATAGCTTTGGATAATCCCTCTGAGAATGTGGTGATTAATACATTATTGGTCCAATCTACCTCAGAAGCCAGGGTGCAGAATTCTATGGCGTAATCTGAGAAAGACCAGTTCCCTTGCTTGATACGCATTAGGGCAGTGGAGGCATTGATCTCCCTTCCCAATGGTTCAAACGTTGATTCGAATTCCGCAAGAAATTCCTGTTAATTATTGGCAACAGTCTTATTACTCACCCATAATGGACGGGATCATGCTAAGGCTTTACCTTGTAGTTGGTTCATTAAGTACCCAATTTTAGCTCTATCCATGGGGAAAGACCCAGGTGAGGCTTTAACTTTTGGTACTCAATTTGATTAAGGAATCCCTGACATTCGGCAATATTACCTTAAAAATGCGGGGGTGAAGAAAAGTGATAGTAGGTGCCCTATATACAATAGGTGTAGGCACAGTAGGTGGGGGCACTGGCGTACATATCGTGGTCGCAGGGGTTGCAGCTGCGACTAGGCCCATTACTCCATGTGCCCCAGCCACCCTGCAGACCCCTGCGACTGGGGGCCCGCCATCATCATTTGCGGCCCCGGTCCGCATGGCAAACCGCCGGTGCCGCATGTTAAGGTGGAGATAGATTGTCAGGGGGCCCGGTCAGCGCTGCGGCACTTTACCAGTGCGAACAGGCCCCCATGATGAAATCATCACTGCTGGGAGGAAGTGAGTGCACATCACTCCTCCCAGCTATCACACAGAGCCTGCGGGAGCGGGAGGAAGAACAGGGAGTCAGAGTGGGAACTCTGTTTGTATGTATGTGTGTCTTGTGTGTGTGTGTATGCCTGTCTGTCTGTTTGTATGTATGTGTCTTTGTATGTGTTGTGCGTGTATGTATGTGTCTGTATGTATCTGCCTGTCTTTGTGTGTCTGTGTCTCTGTATGTATGTATGTGTGTGTGTGTGTGTGTCTGTCGGAGGGAGTTATAGGAGAGGGAGGGTGGGGGCCCATGGATCACTTTCACACTGGGCCCCATGGGTTATGTGTACGCCACTGGGTGGGGGTGTACCTGCCGAAGGGACCTCAGGCTGCAAATGAGCCATATGTATTAGTAGCGTATTGAAAGATTGGGCAAATTGATCCATATGGTGATAATTCTCCTCTAGCTTTCTCTCACAAGCTGCTATGTGCTGACACAATTCTGAAGGATCTATGGCCATGTCGTAATGTCAGGATTATATAGATCCAGCACGCAGAACCCTAGAACTGAGGGTAACACCTTACCGGACCTTAGAATGGCCAGACTTAACTTACCTTACAATAGTCTGAAAACTAGCCGAGGTCAGGGACACAGAACCAGACTAGTGATGTCCCGAACGGTTCGCTGGCGAATAGTTCCTGGCGAACATAGCGTGTTCGCCACGGATGGCGAACATATGCGCGGTTCGATCCGCCCCCTATTAATTTACTAATACTACGTAAAAATTACTTAGTATTAGTAAATTGTGCCCCTACTCGCAATACCGCGAGTAGGAGCATGTCTATTAAACAGTGAGCAGCCTGTGGCACTGTTTAAAAAAAAAGGGTCCTAAATACTAATAGGGGGGCCTATGCGGTGGGTGGGGGTCCTAATAACAATAAGGGGGGACCTATTGTCCCCCCCGGCCCCCACCCCTGAGCGGTGGGTGGGGGCCCTAAAATTAACAATAAGGTGGGGACCTATTGTCCCCCCCTGGCCCCCACCCCTGAGCGGTGGGTGGGGGCCCTAAAATTAACAATAAGGGGGACCTATTGTCCCCCCAGCCCCCACCCCTGAGCAGTGGGTGGGGGCCCTAAATACAAAGGGGGGGGACCTTAGTCACCCCTCCCCGCCCCCCAAAAAATATCTCCCTACCTACCCCCCTCACCCTAAAAATAATGATGGGGGGAACTTTAACTAAAAACCTGTAAAAAAAAAATTGGTAAAAATAACTTACCATTTGATGTTTTCTTTCTTCTACAATCTTCTTTTTTCAGCCCCAAAAAAGGCCAAATAAAAAGCCATAAGAACCGACGCAATTAAAAAAAAAAAAAAAAAAAACGAGCGCACAAAAAAATAATCCATCTTCACCCATGGAGGGCTCCGCGCAGACTGAGCTCTGCAGGGCGGGGGAAGGCTTATAAAGCCTTGCCACGCCCTGCAATTAGGCTAAGAACACTCTGATTGGCTGGTTTGAGCCAATCAGAGTGCTCTTTGTCATTTTACACAGCGTGGGAAAATTCAAAAGAACTTTCCCACGCTGTGTAAAATGACATAGAGCACTGTGATTGGATGGCTTGAAATTTTACACAGTGTGGGAAAGTTCAATTAGGGTGGGGGCCGGAGAGGGGGAGGACAGTAGGTCCCCCCCTTATTGTTATTTTTAGGGCCCACAGGGGTGGGGGCCAGGGGGGTAGGACAGTAGGTCCCCCCCCTCATTATCTTTATGGCCCCCACCCGCCGCCCAGGGGTGGGGGCTTTGGGGGGGATGGAGATTAGGTCTCCTCCCCCCCCCCTTCAACCAGTAAGAGTCCCTGTGGGTTTTAAAATTTGCCTATTGAAGTCTATGGCGGTTCACCAGGTTCGCCCGGTTCGCGAACAATTGCGGGAGTTCGCGTTCGCGGTTCGCGAACCGAAAATGTTGTGTTCGCGACATCACTAAACCAGACACAGCGATAAGAAAAAGCCAAAAGTCAAGGGTACCAGAAATCAAGAAAGTCAAAAGGAAGCCAAAGTCAAAAACCAGAATAACAAGATCAGGAAATAACCATCTAAGGGAAACCATGACAGGGCAATGAGCTAAGGAATAAGTTAGCTTAAATAACCCTCTTGCAGATCCGATTGGCTGTAGCTAGCCCTTGACCCCAAAACGTGTGTGTGCGACTTTTGCATGACGTCACCCGCACTACGTCTTTTTACAATAGAATAACCAACTTCTACTGGATTGATATGTTTTTAAGAACTATGCTTAAGGTGTGAAAATACACATTTTACAAAATAGTGTGCTTATTTATTTTACACTATGCTAACTCCATTTCTGATTTTATCCCTGTGTATGATTTTTTTTATTAAGAAGCTTTTTTAATTATATTAAGTTTAGTTTTCTGATGGATATTACAGACTGCATTATAGTTTTTTCATTGTTGGTATAGAATATAAGAATATCTCCTATTACTACTAAATATTTGATTTCATATGAAAATTGTGTTTGCTGTTAATTGAAAATAATTTATATGGACTGTAATTTTATTGGACTAGCAAAACTTTGCAATGACAAGCTTTCAAGAGATTCTTCCTTTGTCGGTCTAAAGCATTTCTTCAGAAAGGGAGGATCTCCTGAACACCTGTCATTCCAAATTTCTGTTTCACTCTTTTATTGTTATTTCTATAGAATTTTATTAGATGTTTTAATGCTATTAATTTCTACATAATTTTAACACTAGAGATTAACATCCATCCATTACCATTATACACTCCTTCAGGTAGTTAAAGACAGTGGCTTTGAGGGTGAAGGACTCTTCACGGACCACAGAGTATGGCAGTGTGAGTTCCACAAAAAATGGCTGAAATGTTCTAAGAGTGGCTGCGGAGGATATTCCAAAACCATTGGGTCCCAAGCAGAAGGCCCCTGCATTCCAGTCCGTGATGGTGTCTGGGGCTGTCTCATGGAGCTCAACACTGCCCGAGTCTCTGTGACACATATCAAAACAATTAGACATAACACGTCACTGTGATAAAGATTTACTACAGCATCTAATAGAAGTTAATGTTGTCATAGTAAATATTTGAAATTAAACAGTCCAGTTCCTTACCCTAAAAGGCTTAGCTGCCATAGCCAGGTCTCAGGGAAATATTGTCTGACTTTGTCTGTCTTTTTTGGCTCATCTGGGATGTTGTTTGGTGCAACAGACATTACTTCAGTTTCATCTAAGGTAAATTAAAATTGATGAGTATGCAGAATGGTTACTGAATATACATATAGCACAAGAGAAGTGTGGGTCTATCACACTACACAGGACCCAATATGCAGACTATGCAATATGATTTCAGACACAGCCCAGCCATGTGAAAGATTGTGAATAGTTATATCTGCATCTTATATGGGCTAGACTTTCTTAAGTCCAGATAGGAGATGCCACAAAGGGTAGATGGGAATGACAGGACTAGGTACATGTAGGATTTCTATATCAAGATGGACACACAAGTACTGGTCAACCAATAAGGACATCTGAGTAATCAAGGAACAAAAGAAAATACATGTGTATACACAGATATAGTTATGTGCGTGTGTGAGTGCGCATCTGTGTCTTTCAATAATAATTCTTAGTAAAATGAAAAAGGGGTGGTCCAGCAGAGAACTCAAATATAGAAGAAATGTAAAAAAAAAAAAAAAATATATATATATATGTAAAATAACATAAAATGTGTATCTTGTGATACCTTTTTTATTGGACTAACAGAATCTTGTAATGACAAGCTTTCTGGAGAACCTCCATTTCTCAAGTCTAAAGCATCTCTAAGCACAACGACACATAGAATTTAAAGTTAAATTGTGATACAGGGGTTAAAGCGACATGAGTGCAGATAAGGCACAGGTTGGATAGAAAATAGACACCAGTCATAAAGAGGGCTATAAATATCTTTTGTGAGGATCACAGAGTGAGGGGGGAGAGAGAGAGAAAAACAAGCAAATATGGTGCTAGAAAAGGAGAGTAAAAAATGAATTACTTAGATTAAGAATGCATGAATTCACATACAAGAATTCCAGAATATGCACGAAGGCCTATATACAGCATAGACAGACACACAGGCACATATACATATACACAAGTAGTGGATGTGAACAAGTATAGACAAGCACATACAATGATATGCATATAAATACAACCAAATGCACAAATATATGTACATCCACGTTGTCTTTGCTTTAGACTTGAGAAAGGGGGGTTCTCCCAAAAGCTTGTCATTATAAAATTCCGTTAGTCCAATAAAAACCCCACATATAATTTCTATGTTATTTTACATCTGCATCACTGGACTAATATGGCTACAATCTCCAATATATATATTTGTTTATTTATTTTTTAAAAGTAGCTCACCAACGTCTTTCATATTTCGACGTAAAAAGATTGGTCTGAATATTGCTGTGTTACTATATGCAATAACAAAATGATGACATTCTACAGGCTTCTTAATGTTCGCATTGGTCATTATTTTCAAGCGCATGTCCTGCAATTCAAAGGAAAATTCTAACTGTTAGATTATAAAAACATTATTTATTTATAAAATATTTTACCAGGAAAGATACATTGAGATTTCTCTTGTTTTCAAGTATGTCCTGGGTCCACATAAACATTGCATTGATACAATAGGGTACAATAAAACACAAAAACAATATTAATACACAATATATACAAAATTTAACATAGAACAGGCAGGAAATATATAATTAACCATGACAGGTGCATTCTGTTTTGAGGTATGTAGAGAGGGATCTCTTAAAGGACTTTAGGTTTAGGAAAGATTTTAAATTGTGCGTCTAAATGCCGTCAGGACAGTAGGCCTGAAATCTACTAAGATTTCCCAAAATTCCTCCTGCTCCTGTACATCATATCAGTTTCATACGTTACAATTCTACTGACTTTATTGCAACTATCTTAACTAAGTCAATGCTGTATCTATAAGGAAATCATATTAGTAGTCTGATGATTTGTATTATTATTATTATATTACATTATGTAAAAATGAAATGATCCTATATTTATATATTAATGTAACAATGCATATATATATATATATATATATATATATATATGTATGTATAATTATATTGAAGAAAGATGCACTCTTCGGTCTTTTTAAGAATATTAATGGTATTTAATCCATCAAAGGTTTACAGGTTGTTTGATCAACGTTTCGACCCGTTTGGGTCTTCCTCAGGATCAACTTATAACCATAAAATCAAGATATATATAGAAAAGGATAAACAGTACTCACCAATTGTGATGTGATACTGTTGTGTACTCAGTTTTTCTTTAATCTGCTATTTCTAAATTAGGTTATAATGTATACCTTTAAAATTCCTAATCCTCTCTATATGAAGCTATGAAGATATTATATGTCTAGGATCTAGATTGTTCAAATGTTTTATTTTTTGGATACATTTTGTACTGTTTATTTTTTTTGCAGTTTAGAGTTCTATTCTTTTCACTTATTTAGATTTTTGGTAGTCTCATATCTATATCCTTGGGCACTATTTCTCATTAATCTTTAATCTCAATTCGAGAGATACCTATCTCATCCTTTTGACATTTGGACATTTTTTTTTTTTTCCCCATTACCTTCACCCTATCTCCAGGTGTGGGATAGGGTGAAGGGGACTGAACAGATAAAAACTTTCTTTTTGAGCTAATATACAGGTGGAATAATATATATATATACATATAAAAAAGTTCTGCATAACTTGGATTGCGCTATAAGATATAAAACAATTGTTGTTCCTATTGTTTAGGGAACGATGTCCAAATGTTGATACTTCTAAGCTCCTCTGTTTATTAGAGAGTTATTATGGGGTATACATTGTGACCTTTCAAATTGCTCCTGCCTATGCCTTTAAATAACAGATAATCTATATTATACACAAAAAACATATACTTTAGTTTATGTCCATGGCTGACATATATGTTTTAATTTGGTATTTGTATATATGTTTAACTACACAAATCTATTTTCACCTTGGTTGCAGACACTTTGGTGTAAGATCGTTTTTTACACATGACACTTTATGACACTGTATTTCTATCACTTGCTGACACATATATTTAATGAATGTGTGTAGATTATATACACTGCTTTCACCTATGAAATTTAATAACTACCCACATATATTTCATAATCACAGACCGATATGAGACCATTCCTATAATATTTTCATTGGTCTCCTAGCAACTCCACTCACTGGCATAACTCTCACATGATCCTGCATGTCACGTGACTTCTGGTTTTCACTTCCGGGTGTGGACTGAATGGATGAGGGAATCACATCACCATTGGTGAGTACTGTTTATCTTTTTCTATATATATCTTGATTTTATGGTTATAAGTTGATCCTGAGGAAGACCTGAACGGGTCGAAACGTTGATCAAACAACCTGTAAACCTTTGATGGATTAAAGACCATTAATATTCTTAAAATGACCGAAGAGTGCATCTTTCTTCAATATAATTATTTATCAGCATAAGATTGCACCAGGGCACTTTACTATTCATTACATCAGGAAGGGTGAGTGCCATTATTTGTGCTTTATATATATATATATATATATATATATATATATATATATATATATATATATATATATATATATATATATATAAAATATATATATATAATATATATATATATATATATATATATATATATTTATATATATCCATTAAAGATTTTTTCAATCAACTGAATATATGTATATTTCTGAATTACTTACTTACATATTTTTTAAATTAAAAAAATAAATAAATACAATCTTTAGGCTTTTCTCAATGGCCCTGCAGGAAACAAAGAGTATCTGTTTTATGTAAACATACAATTCATTTTTTACTCAAGAATATAGATATTTAGAAATATGAATTCAGGGTATAACAAAAATAATGACATAATTACCTTAAATAAGCTGTAGACATCTACATAATTGTTGGGCCCTTCTAAAAAATATCTCTGGAAATGTGATTCTCCACAGTAAGTGTCACGTTCTTCTAATCGATCATCGTACCCACCAAAATCATTGACAGGGAATAAAGAGTGCACCTTTGAATGGAATAAAAGCATGGTGAAATGAAAGATGGGACGATTTCAAAACATTATTTGATATATTTTTAACCACTTTATTTCAGAGGCTGGAAAAGATTGTGAGCATTTCAAATTCATTAGCGATCAGAGATCCCTCACAAGACATAGGAGACTCGACCTGTCTTGATCATCGCAATGCAAACAGCTATTTAACTGAATTTTTCCTTGTCAATATTTAAATGCCCATGTCTCTGCAAAAAGGTTTACATACTGAAACATATTTTCTTTGAATCAAAGAAGGTGTGGATTCGGCTGAATTTTAGTCACCATATTAAAATAAAAAAATAAAAGGGTGCAATTTTTGGATTCACAAAACCATCCCCCAGAAATTTTAGTTATATTGCATTAGATAAGGACTGTGTCTTCTTTGGTTTAGTGCATGAAGTGAAGTGGGCAGAGCCTAACAAGTCAGAGAGCATGGTGAAATTCTGTGGGTAGAGTTTAGCATCCCATCATTTTTAATCATCATCAGCTGCAATGGAGTTTTACCTTATAATATTGGACTGAACAGGAACAAGTCTGCCTACTTATAAGGTCAGCGACTCCTTAAAAATCTTAATGTAGGTGTATGTTTTAACAGTAGGTGTATGTTTTTTTTTTAATAATATTAACACAAAACAAAAACCAAAAGAGAGTTATATGTGAACTATCCCAAAACCCTATGCAGGTTTACATAACTGTGTTTTTGGTATTACTAAAGTGTAAGCTCATCTGCCCTGTCAAGGCAAACCTCATTTTCCTACACTAACAATTCACCTTGGAGCTTTTAACAATATGCAGATATATCTAAGGAGACTGAAAAGGGTATTCTTAAGAACCCTTTTACACTTATTAACCCTTAGTAGGACACACATGGGGTTGTTTTAAAACAATGACAGAAAGTATAAAGGAATGGTATACTTAAGCAGTAAAGAATGAGAGAAACATATAAGATAAAGGAATTACAATAAAGTAGAGAATAAGAGTAAAATAAATCATATAAATCACAGATATTACATGCAGGATTTTCAGACAGAGACAAAATGGTGATGACAGCTATGCAGAATGTTCACACACTGACAACAATTCAGTATTTATCATTGACTATCTCACTTTATCAGCTGTCAGCTCTTTTTCAGGTTTCATTAACACCACACTCTGATCCACAACCCTAAGGCCACAGAGGGATCCAGCTTCTGCCTGAATCTGTAAGGAAACATCTGATCCAGGGAGGACTTCATTTGGAGAAAACCCAACAGATACCTGAAATGGGAGAAATGTAACACTGGAATAATTGTAGACATAAAGGAAACATTACATTACTCAGAGACAGGAACATTGTACAGATTAAGACTATATTTTACACTTGCATGCAAACAAAAGGAGGATACAGCTGTATATCTACAATTTGAATAAAAAACAAATAATAGTGCAACACTGTTAAATGAGTGTGAATGCGCTAAGTAGAATATCACTCACTAGAAGGATGAAAGAATATCGCCCAAAGGTGCCTCCCCACTTAGGGATTTCATTTTATAAGCCATCATTTTTATTTTAGAACACAATTATTTTATATTTGAAAATATACGGGTTTTTCTACAACTCACAGAGACAGCAATGGGGACCATTTCGCCTCCAGCTATGCCAACATTTTCATGAGAAGATGGGAGGAGTTGACTGTGTGGTCTTGGCATAGCTGGGGGAGAGACCTGGTCCTCTGGCAAAGATGCATAGATTACATATTTATTATTTGGCGAGGCACAGAACATTCTTTCACCCAACTTGTAGATTTTTTAAACCACAATTCTTATAATTTAAAATTTACTGCAGAATGGTATAGAGAGTGTCAGGGGTCCGCGGGCGGCTGTGAGGGTAGGCTGCACGCCACTTGCGCGGTCTCCCCTCCTCTTACCTGTCGGCGAGCGGCGTATCCTCTCCGCCGCTCGCCGCTCGCGTCCTCCACGCCTCCCAGCAGCAGCATGTATAACGCTGCACGCTGGGAGGTCGCAAATTTATGCAAACGCCGGGGTCACTCACGTGACCCGGCGTTAAAGCAACAGTACCGCAATCACAGTGGGAGGCATAGATATCTCACACGTGTGATTGTTAATTCTGATTGGAAGTTATCCAATCAGAATTAAGCAAAGGGTATTTATACTTACCTTTCCTGTCTCTCAGTGCCCTGTTGTGGTCTTGTGATACCTGTAGTGTAGTTTTCTCATCTTGCTCTCTGGTTAGCGATTATTTGGCTCGTTATTCCGATTATATTGTCTTCTCCGCTCCTTTGACCTCGGCTTGTTTCTCGTTCTCCTGTTTTCTGGCTCCCTTTACTTGGCTTGTCTCCTGACCATTCTTAGTGTGCTTAGCCCGGCCACTCTAAGGACCGGTATAGCATCCTTCATCTCTGTGTCCTGTTAGCGTGTTAGGTTCCCGAATCGTGACATTACAACAGGGCCACCATGGAACCTGCTGACATTCCACAGATGTTAGTAAATCAGGAGGCTAGAATGGTTCAGACCATCGTATGGATCAGTTTGCCCAGGCTTTACAAACCATAATGGCTCGTACTGCCCACCAGCAACCTGTCGTTCAAGAAGCTGTTACTGCTGTGCCAGAACCCATTCCCGATCCAGTACCCACTCCTGCTCACGTGGTTCACATGACGCCACCTCAGCGCTATAGCGGTGATCCAGCGTTTTGCCATGGTTTCCTCAACCAAATTGATCTTCATTTGGTGATGAATCCTCGTTTCTACCCCACTGACAGAACCAAAATTGCTTTTCTGATCAACCACTTGTCCGGGAAAGCTCTAGCATGGGCTAATCCCATGTGGGAGAATACGTCCCCAATGTCCTTTGCAGACTTTTTGCTGTACAGCTTTTAAATGTACATTTGATCAACCCGGCAGGGTTGCTTCTGCTGGCAAAGCTCTGCTTAGGGTCCGACAGGGTAATAGATCTGTAGCGGACTATACCATTGAATTCCACACTCTGGCAGCTGAAGTGGTTTGGAATAACGACGCCCTCGTAACAGCCTTTCAGGAGGGTTTGGCCGCCACATATTAGATGAAATAGCATCCAGGGAATTGCCTGTTCTTCTGGATGATGTAATAGATTATATAATTCTTATTGACAACCGTATTAGAGAGAGGTGTATTCAAAGAAGGATGGACACACAGGGGTTACCTGCTTTACCCAGTACTGCATTACTAGCATTACCTCCTCCTAATCAACCACCTCCCGAACCCATGCAATTAGGTGCTGTAGGCTTAACTGAAGCTGAAAGAACGTACCGCAGAAGGGTGGGCTTGTGCCTTTATTGTGGAAAGAGGGAGCATCTCCGAAGAAACTGTCCTAGTTTGCAGGGAAACTTCAGCACCTAAGGCCTAGAGAGGGGTCGGCCTCGGGTGTTATGTTTTTTTCCCCTCATGTGTCCACCTCCAGACCATTTATTACTGTTAGTCTTTTGGTCAATCAAACCACTATAACAACTAAAGACTTGATCGATTCAGGTGCTGCAGACAACTTTATGGATGAGAACTTTACAAAAACCGCAGCCTTGACACTGATCCAAAAGGCCACACCCTTGGCCGTTGAGGCCATGGATGGGAGACCACTTGATAAAACTCTGGTGACCCATGAAACCCAAGAAATGGTTATGGCCATGGGTGTCTTACACAAGGAAAGGTTAACCTTCCAAATAATCGACTCCCCTACAGCTTCCATCGTTCTGGGCTTTCCCTGGTTAGTTATGCATAACGGTACTTGATTGGGGTTGTTTAGATATACTCTCCTGGGGGGAATCCTGTCAACAAGACTGTATGGCCCGTTTACGTCCCGTTTGCTTACTTAATGTGCCTACAGCTAAACCACTTTCTGTTTCTGTCCCTCCTGTGTATGCAGACCTCGTATTGGTCTTTGAAAAAAGGGAGGCTGATAAGCTACCCCCACACCGGGATTATGATTGTGCCATAAACCTGTTACCTGGTACTATGCCCCCTAGGGGTAAGGTCTACCCGCTTTCTGAGAAAGAAAACCAGGTCATGGAGGAGTACATACAGGAATCCTTACGTAAAGGTTTTATCAGAAGGTCCTCCTCTCCGGCTGGTGCTGGTTTCTTTTTTGTTGCCAAGAAAGAGGGTGATTTGAGGCCATGTATAGACTACAGGGGCCTGAATAATATAACAATTAAAAACGCTTATCCTATCCCTCTCATTACTGAGTTGTTTGACCGTGTTAAATTTTCTAGATATTATACTAAACTAGACCTCAGGGGGGCTTATAACTTGGTTCATATAAAAGAGAATGATGAATGGAAGACAGCGTTCAATACACGCAGTGGGCATTACGAGTATCTAGTCATGCCTTTTGGACTGTGTAATGCTCCTGCTGTCTTTCAGGACTTCATAAATGATGTCCTTAGAAATTTACTGCATGTCTGTGCTTTGGTTTATCTCGATGATATACTTGTGTATTTTCCTGATTTGGAGTCACATCATGCCCATGTGAGGATGGTACTTAAGAGATTACTGCAGAGCGGTCTTTATTGTAAATAAGAGAAATGTTTATTTGACCAAAAATCTGTACAATTCCTAGGGTACGTCATTTCTGAACAGGGATTCAGCATGGATCCTTCAAAATTAGAAGCCATATTGTCTTGCCCTCTTCCCCAAGGCCTTAAGGCAATACAGCGATTTATAGGCTTTGCCAATTATTATCGGAGGTTTATTAAAAACTTTTCATCAGTCATTTCTCCTATTATGAAACTGACTAAAAAGGGTTTGCACCCCAGGGTTTGGACTCCTGAAGCCGTTAAAGCCTTCGAGACTCTCAAAAAGGCATTTGCCACTGCCCCGTGCTACACCATCCTGATCCTTCCCTTCCCTTTGTTATGGAAGTAGATGCTTCAGAATCAGGTGTAGGAGCTGTATTATCACAAAGACTATCGCATAACGAACCCCTCCATCCCTGTTGTTACTTTTCTAAAAGGCTCTCTGATTCGGAAAAGAATTACGACGTTGGGAACAGGGAACTATTAGCTATTGTGATGGCTTTTAAAGAATGGAGGTACTTATTAGAAGGAGCTAGACACAAAATCCTGGTTATAACTAATCATAAGAATTTCTCATATATAGCAGATGCTAAAAGGTTGTCCTCTCGTCAAGCAAGATGGTCTTTATTTCTTTCACGCTTTCAGTTCATTATCACATATAGGCCTGGGTACCGTAATGTCAAGGCTGATGCTATCTCCAGACAATACGAACCTTTGGAGTCAATTGCCCCCCCTCCTGAACCCATTGTACCTACATCTAAGATAATAGCTGCTACCCATTTGGTTATTTTGTCTTTTTTCCTTGATGGTATCAAGACATACCAAACCCGAGCACCCTCTGAGACACCTGTTGGTAGATTATACGTGAAAGAAAAAGATAGAAAGAAATTGTTAGCTTTATTTCACACCGCCAAAACGGCTGGTCACCCAGGGGTTACCAAAACATACAAGGGTCTCCTTCAACAATTTTGGTGGCCCTCACTTAAGCAAGACATAGTGGATTATGTGCAGGCTTGTCGTGTTTGCGCACAGTGTAAGTCCCCTAATGTTAAACCCCCGGGACTCCTAATGCCTCTATCTGTGCCCAAGAAACCATGGACCCACTTATCCATGGACTACATTGTAGATCTTCCTTCATCTGCTGGACAGACAGTAATTTTGACTGTGACTGATAGGTTCTCTAAAATGGCACACTTTATTCCACTTAAGAAATTACCTTCTGCGGTTCAGTTGGCTCAAGTATTTGCCAAAGAGGTGTTCCGCTTGCATGGTATACCACAGGATATCGTATCCGACAGGGGTCCTCAATTTGTCTCTCGGTTCTGGAGGGGCTTTTGTGCTGAGATGGGGATCTCCTTGTCATTTACGTCCCCCTATCATCCACAATCTAATGGAGCTGCCGAACGAGCAAATCAATCTGTAGAGTTATATTTACGCTGCTTCACGAATGCGCACCAGGACAACTGGTCTCACCTCCTTCCCTGGGCTGAATTTGCCAGAACACTGTGACTCATTCGTCCACTGGCTTAAGTCCTTTTATGGTTGCTTATGGGTTCTTCCCGGCGTGTTCTCTGACAAGGTTGTGACGAGACCAATCTCGCCACATTGCATTGGAGAAGCCTGGTTGCTCGCCTGTTGCCTTTGGATTATGGCCCCATGTTAAAAGGCTTGATTTTCCCCTGCAAAGACATGAAAGCAGGGTCATTTGGTGCTTGCCCTGTTTGAGCGGTGATACCCCAGATAGCTATGCCATGGAGCCTATTCGTATAATGAAAGACTATGGGAAAGACTTTGGCTCCATGGCAATTGATCTGTATGTGTGTGCTCTGAGCGCCATTCAGTAATAATGTGTGCTCAGATCTGAGCTATCTGGGGATATGTTGAATGTACCTGTTTTGTGCAATGGCTGCCATGTGTTCAGTGGAGTTTTGCCTCTGTCTTTGGAGATAATTGGATTACTTCCCAATTATCTCCAGGATAGTAATCCAATTATCTCCAAAGACAACCAGGTACTGGTTTTGGGCAGATAAAACATGCTTCCTTTGGTCACAAAGGACTACGATCTATCTTTTGAACCATTGGACCAATTTGTATGAATTTGACATATGGAGTATGCTGATTCTGAAAATGTAAGTTTTATGTGAATGTGATGCATACTTTTCAAGTTATGAATAATGTGGAAAAATTTAATTTCTCTGCTTGTGATAATTACATTACCCATTGTGTAAGGTAATTGAATCACAGGCAGAGGGGAGGAATTTGTGTGGGAGTGTGTGAGTGTATTGTATGTGTTTATTGGTTGTGTTCCAAAACCCTGTGGGTGGTACTAATGTGTACATAAGCACAATAAACCCACAGCTCTGACTGTTCACTGCTTGACCCTCAACACAGAGCTTTGTCTCGTTCTTGGGGGGATTTATTGTATGCTGTTCCAGTTTGACTGCTAGGAGTGTAAACCTATTCGTATGGTTTTTCCTATTCGGCTGTTTACAGCATTCATATGGTTTCCTGTTCGACGGATTGGTGTTCTGCAGTAGCTGTGCCTGTGTCTCTGGAAGGGAAGATCTACTAAACGGCAGTTTAACCCTTTTATGCTGAGGGTGCCGTTACAAATGAAATACCCGCTTTGGACGAGCACCTCACCTCTGTATGGAAGATATGGGATCAGGTCCATGCTACTCTTTCCGTGCGGCTGCTACTCAGAAGAGATTTGCTGATCGTCGTAGGGGTGCAGCTCCTTCTTATGTCCCGGGTGATAGGGTTTGGTTGTCCTCTAAGAATCTCCGCCTCAGGGTCCCCTCGATGAAATTCGCGCCCAGGTTCCTTGGCCCCTATAAGGTATTGCGTAAGGTCAATCCTGTGTTCTACTCCCTGGCATTGCCTCCTTCCATGCGTATACCTAACACTTTTCACACCTCCCTTTTGAAGCCCCTGCTCTGTAATCGATTCTCTGGTCCTCTCAGGCGTCCGGATTCCCTCCGCGCTATCTCCAGTGATGTGTACGAAGTGGCTACTCTGCTTGATTCTCGTTTTTCTCGGGGTCGGTTGCAGTATCTGGTAGATTGGAAGGGTTACGGCCCTGAGGAGCGATCTTGGGTTTCTGCTTCTGACTTGAATGCGCCCTCTTTGATCCGCTCCTTTCATGCACGGTTTCCTTTGAAGCCTTTGGCTTCCCGTCCGTTGGGCAGTCCTCGAGGAGGGGGTTATGTCATGGGTCCGTGGCCGGCTGTGAGGGGAGGCTGCACGCCACTTGCAGCACTCACCTTCAGTCCGTTGCCGCCCGCGGTCTCCCCTCCTCCTACCTGTCGGCGAGCGGCGTCTCTTTATACTTACCTTTCCTGCCTCTCAGTGCCCTGTTGTGGTCTTGTGATACCTGTAGTGTAGTTTTCTCGTCTTGCTCTCTGGTTACCGATTATTTGGCTCGTTATTCCGATTATCCTGTCTTCTCCGTTCCTTCGACCTCGGCTTGTTTCTCGTTCTCCTGTTTTCTGGCTCCTTTTACTTGGCTTGTCTCCTGACCATTCTTAGTGTGCTTAGCTCGGCCACTCTAAGGACTGGTATAGCATCCTTCCTCTCTGTGTCCTTTTAGCGTGTTAGGTTCCCGAATTGTGACAGAGAGAAAATAAATTTTTGGGATGTGACCCTTTCTAATAATGGATCTGATATTACTTCTAAATGTTTTTTTTTTTTTTAAAACAGATGGCAATAGACAGAGCAGTCACCATGATCCTTGGCTCAGAGGAATTTCCCAAAGCCAATTTACTAGAGTACGTCACAATTGCTCCAAATTAAACGAATTTCAAACTCAAGCCACTGTTGTGAAAAACAAATTTCAACAAATACAACAAAAATCACTAAGAGAAGGAACTTAAAAAGATTTTAAAAATAAATAAAATCAATCTATTAGAGGATAAACCCTAAGAAAAGAACTATACAAATAGAGAAAGTATTAAGAAATACGATCACTCCTTTATTACAAAATATAATACAGATAATTTTAAAATCAGAAGGGCAATATTGAAACATTGGCCTATTCTACAGGAAGACAAATTATTAGGACCTCTCCTACCTGATCCTTCCTATAATTTTTTTAAAACACAAATAATTTAAAAAACACCCTAGCACCTAGTTAAGTTATTAAAACTATCAATAACCAGAGAGAAATATCTGAATCTGCAGGTTTAGAGGATGTCTAACATGCAAATCATGTAAAACCACAGGGAATAAAGTGGGAATAAAAAATATTTCATTAGTACGGTACCTGGAAAAAAGTATCTGATCAGAGACTGTATTGGATGCCACATGGACTATGTGGTATGCATGCTCCAGTGTCTGTGTGGCAAACAGTATATCGGCAAAACCAAGAGAAAACTGAAAATCTGATTCCTAGAACATCAGAATAATATAAGGAAAAAAGACATCAATCACACAGTTCCGGTTCACTGTAATAACTGCCCCATTTTCAAATGGCAGACTAAGATGTTTCGGTATTGAACCTATAAAATCCCACTGGAGTGGGGGAAATAGGGAGGAGAGGTTAGCACATAAAGAGACCGTCTGGATTAATCAGTTAGGCACCTTGGAACCTGTAACGGAACGCCAATATTAAATCCACGAATTCCGCTGGTTCAGGAAGTAATCCACAGTCAAGCGCTGGAAAAAGCAAGGCAATATCCCAAATCTCCCAGTAACCGGACGAAACACAGTTCTGAGAGTCAACTGAGGTCTTTATTTTCAGCTCCACAATTTATACAATTCCCCATGCAAGGGGTTTCCTGAGTCCTCTCCCAGGGGCATTCCCAGAGTGGACTACATGGGGAACTTACTGTACAGGACATTTCTCCCATCAGGCACTGCTGCACGAGAGGGATCCTCCAACAGGAATGTACCGTTAAGTGGATTATCCCTCCGTGCAGCAGAACCGACAATTTATATTAAAATGCATAACTTTTCGAATATGCGGTCTATTTGCACGAATGGACGTTAGGTAGATAGCTGGGGTCTGAGCGCATCATTCGTGAGATTACCGCTCAGATCCCAGCTAAAACAACCGAACGCTGCACGAAAAACACATTCATTAAAATACATGTTCAAAAGACCGATTGCATTCTAGGGAACCAAATACCGTACGGCCCGGAACTCCCGAACGGTCTGGAAGCTCAGCGGTGTTCGCACCGTCGAGTTGCCATTTTTAGTACCATGCGCTCGACGACCACACACCGCAGAGGGAACAAAGGATCCAAGATGGCCGACCGCCGCATGGACGGTAGTCGAACGGCGGCCACCTAGGAGAGCCTCTAATTACCGATTGCAACATTGTTGCAATTGGTTAACAAGCGCCACACGCCTCAAAAGTGCCGTTCGTGAAACGAAAGGAAAAACAGCTATCTGCATTCGGCAGATAGCCAATACAGCAAATACACGTTAATTACGGCCAGCATACATTACACTGAGTAAAACACATATCCCACAACCATACAGGCAAACCTTAAAGGCACAGTCTCTTTATATTGTCCAAGTGGCTATGTTTGCCACAGAACCCGGAAGTCTCAACGCTGAAATAGACATTATCTGCTTCCTTTAATGTGAATGGAAATGCAATATTCCCCTTATATGGACCATTGTAATAATTATAACTTGTAAAAAAAAGTGGATTAAATGAATTTTTTCATTTTTTATTTTTTTATTTTCACTATTATAATCTCCATATATTTGTCATTTTTTTCATTTTTATTTTTTTATCTATTTATATATAATATTTAGCAGTATCAATATTATTTGTCAGTATTACTTTATGTGGATTTTCATTTTCATTTTTATTTATTTTTATTTCAATTTTCATTTCACATTTTATTTTTTATTTCGTATTTCTTATTTTTTATTTTCACTGTTATTTACAATTATTTGTATTTTTTATTTATTTTTATTCTTGTTTTCATTTTTATATTTATTTGCATTTTTTGGGTTATATATATTTAAATTGTTATATGTATATTCTTTATCCTAATATACACCGTTCTAGGAAAAATATTCCCTATTTATAGATACACTGGTCATTATGAATTCTTGAGTTAAAATAATAACTAAATTGATTGTTTAATATTAATATGTTTTACAATTTAACCATGATGGGTTCCTATATATGGGTTTAGTATTCCCATATTTATTGTGAAATGAAGCAAACAACGCCCAACGGAACACCAATGAGAAGATTAGCCACCCATATAAAAGAATGGACTCAGGGGGGAGGGATTATACTGCTTATTCTTGTAATTGTTATTGCTGTTACAAATTTTAATACCAGGACGTCCCAGAGAAAGTCCTTTGTGGACGAAACGCGTAGGACCTGGTACTATAAGAGCTTTTATATTAATTGTTATACTTATTTTAATAAAGAAGAATTTTCTACTCTATAATTCTGAGTCTGACTCCGTCATCTTCAGAACAGGAGGATTGGTTTTACCCCCCAACTCCATCAGGGGAGGCACCCTTGGGCGATATTCTTTCATCCTTCTAGTGAGTGATATTCCGCTTAGCGCATTCACACTCATTTAACAGTGTTACACTATTATTTGTTTTTTATTCACTTTGTAGATCTGCAGCTGTATCCTCCTTTTGTTTGCATGCATATGGTATTTAAAGGGTTTATTGCTGGGATATCCCTGGATGATCCACTATCCATTGAGATAAATGGTCTTTTTCACTTTTCTATTACATTTAGGTGTTAAGTGATTGTTTCTTTCTTGTATATATACTATATTTTACACTTGTAGTATATTTCATAAATCTACATTTTGAAGGTGTGACGAAATCAACTTCACCAGTGGTTTTTGGGGGGGCCTGTTTGCCAGCCTCCTACCCTGGGACCAGAGGCGGCTCTCTAATTAGGCGGTTTAGGCGGCCGCCTAAGGCCTCGCGCTGTGTGGGGCCTCGCGGCCGCCTAAACCACCATAGGGCAGACTGACCCGACACAGGAGGGGGCCCGGTGGCTTGCCCTTGGTGCCGCCGGGTGCGAGGCCCCTCCTGTCAGTCTGCCCGGGAGAGAGCCAGCCTTCAGTCTGTAGCTCCGCCGGGTGTGAGCTGCAGACTGAAGTGTCTCGCGATCTCCAGCCAATCAGAGCGTTGCCGCGGGTTACCACGGCAACGCGCTGAATGGAGACCGCGAGACATTCACCACGTGGTCTGCAGCTCTGCATCCGGCAGAGCTGCAGACCGGAGAGACCACTGGACCACCAGGGAGTCTGAGTGCCACCACTGGACCACCAGGGAGTCTGCCACCACTGGACCACCAGGGAGTCTGCCACCACTGGACCACCAGGGAAAAAGGTACCTGCCACCCCATTTGTCACCCCTCACCCTGTCACCCCACCTGTCACCCTGCCACCCCCTCACCCTGTCACCCTGCCATCCCATCTGCCACCCCACCTGTCACCCTGCCACCCCCTCACCCTGTCACCCTGCCACCCCACCTGTCACCCCATTTGTCACCCTGCCACCCCACATGTCACCCCAACTGTCACCCTGTCACCCTGCCACCCCCTCACCCTGTCACCCCATCTGCCA